GAAGACAACTGCATCGGTCGTTTGAAATACAAGACCTCCAGCGTTATTTCTATCGGAAACGTGGTCGGTTTATTATATGGTGAAGACCGTATGAATAACTATACAGAGGCAGGCCATCGTCAACTAAACTCCGTACGAAAATTCACTATTTGATAAAAGTTACGTAATATCTTTTGGGGAGGGTGAGTTTTTATTGATACGCGGCAATGGTGGAATTAGTCACAGCGGCAACAGAAATAGGCTTCTTCGATAAAATCTAACTCGAGGCTGTTAACGTTACCGTCGATGCTCGCTGATATAACGAAGTTGCGCAATCTTCACAGGGAAATCTTCAGACGAAGATGCCAACTTTGACAAAAGTTTTACATTCGGCTTGCAAAGAACTTTCGAGTAATGCATAACCAGAAGGAATAAATCAAGTAATTGATACAGATGACCATCTGCCAATGACATAAATTCGAACTCCCGATTGCAGACTGCACCCTTGTGTACTGACATTACAGTCATTACAACAGAACTGTAATAAAAAATTTATAGTTGGACAATAGCATCACATTTCACTCATAGAGACCTATCGTTTGACGTATAACATGATGCACTGAATCACGTAATTGTTACAGCTGACCACCGTCCATTTATACAGATTAAAAGCGGTGGTCATAGGACCGAACGGTGACAATACCCAGCGGTGTGCGCCAAAACGTTGCTAGACCGTTTCTTGCATGGTATTGGAATTTGCCCTATTTATGCATGGTCGAAACCAGCACTGCTGTTCCATCTCTATTCGTCTTCCATCAGAACGAAGGTCTGTATCATGCATAACAGTGACCGTAGCGGAGAAAGATACAAGCAGTGTTTTGTGGACAGAGTCATTTCTTTGTCAATCCAAATATTTGACGGGCAGCCGAAACAAGCTTGAAAACAATAATCATATTTAAATTTGATTAGCGGTATACAGTATTTAAATTTAACCTTACCATCTGTTTACTTCCCTGTTGTACCTGTAGGTTCGTCTAACTTGTGACTTTTGTGTCAAGAAAGAAAGTGGCTTTCATTGCAGTACTGCATTCCGAACCAGATACATGTAGTGAAGTTCTGTTTTGCTCACAGCTAGACCTTGTCACCTGTATCCTCTGTTATTGAAAATACCAGTCCGAATAAGTTTAATGCGACCGCTTATTTCATGAGACATCTTTGCGCAGATCAAGTCCGAGAAAAAGGTACTTAGCGCTGCTATGCGTAACTACTGTTTGACCGACTCTCTGGCATTGAAGGTGAAAGAAATACAGTCTGGCCAATCCACCAAACCACAGTTAATGTTTGCAACGAGGGTGCACGATGAGACCTCAACGTACCCTCTGGACGGAGGATTAATTATTTAACTCGGTTAGATTTTTTTGCCGATAGCAAGATAATCAACTAAAATAGACAAAACTATTGAAAATGATAACAGAATATGTTCAAAACTCGACAAGTCAAGCCGAATGTTGAGCGATTACCAGAGTTCTGTAATAACGTTGCAGTGCTATACGTATCCTAGGGACTACACGCTGTGCATGGTACTTTAATAATGTTTGTGTTGTATTATTATTTATTTTTTTTATCTTGGTTTCATGTGGTCACAGACTAGCTTGAACGGTTCAGTAACAGTATTCAGTAAAAATTCATGTGGAAAGGAAAATTTTCTGTGGTTGTAAGAATATCGAGAGGTATCAAGTGTCAAGCTGCTGACTTAAGAAAGCATGTTGCTTACCAGATAAATCAAGATACAGCAACGAATGAGAGGAGCCGCTAAGAAGGTCGACGTTCGGTTGGGAGATACGGTTGTGACTTACGTCAAGGAACCGCAGGTGACGCAACTGCGACAGGCCAAGGTTGTCGAAAGAAGAGAGGATTGAACGCGCCAGGTATAACTCTTCAAGGAATAACGGGAAACGAACGGAGCGAAGTCTGCCGATACGGTTCGAGGCCAGATTCAGGTGTTTCAACTTTAGCAAGCTGTCGAAGGCGCGAGGGTCGATCGACGAGATTTCGTTATTATTCAGATTTAAACTCACCAGTTTGTGAAGAGGGAGCAACTCGAGACGGAGGTGACGAATCTCGTTGCCCGCAAGGTTTAGATATTCCAAGTTCGAGAGATGTCGTAAGAAACGACTCGGTACCTCTGGGAGGGAGATGCTTACCAAAGAGATGCGTTTCAGTGCGTGCGCCGCAAAGCGACCGAACATTCGTTTGTTCAGAGGATATCTTCGGCGTTGTGTGCCATGTGCACGGACAGTTCTTACCCGAAAAAGGTTGTATGACAAATCGATGCTTTCCAATACACGCATGTGATAAAACACTTTCCAGCTCAAGCCTCGAAGCGAGTTCAGACTCAGGTCCACTTCCCTCAGCGTCCACCGAAGGTTCCAAAAGGTCAGACGGTTAACTGACTTCAAATTACAACCACTGATGCGAAGCGCCGTTAGTTTCCGGTTTACGTCAAACGTATCTTTCGTCAAATGTCGAGTCAGACTATAGTCTAGCAACGCGGTTTCTACGTTTGGAAACTTGGCGAGCGAATTCAGACTGAAGTCCGACTCAGAGGCATCAAGATGAACGACGTTGAGAAAGAGAATTGAGCAATTCGCAATCCATTCACTGAAGCCATGGTTTGCCTTGAAGTCAAGATCTACCAAAGAGGTCAGTTCTGCTGGAAGACCATAGACGCCTCCTTGTTGAACGACAAGCGATTCCATGTTTGCATGTATGTGGCTGGGCAAGTCCGCAAGAGCGGTGGTGGACGAGTTGCTTACATCCAGCGAGGTCACTGTCTTAGATAAGTACCTCAAAGCATTTGACCAAGAGGAGATCGGCATTTCGGCAATGCCAAGGTGTCGGAGGCGCACCAACGGAAGAAATGTGAAAGTTGACACTATCCGTATCGGGTTGTGACTCAGCTCTAATGCAATAAGATTCGTGAGACCAGCGAAGCAGTACTTCGGCAGCGCTTGAATTTCGTTGTAGCTGAGAACGAGTATTTCCAGATGAGACAGCAATCGTAGGGCATCGGTGGGAACAGCAGCCAGTCGGTTGCTCGTCAGGTCGAGCAAAACCAGTCTGTCATTTCCGAATCGCAGATCTCTTGGCCTAATGATCCTAATCCTGTTGCCGATCAGATGTAGCTCAGAGAGCCCCTCAACCGTGGACAACAGTCGACGAGGGACCCGGCTGAGTTGTAGTTTTTCCAGCACAAGCGAAAACACATTCACGCTTCCAAAGAACTTCATGCTGCGTTTTGGCAGGTGACAATGAGTCAGAATCAACTCTTCTATTTTGAGATGAGAGAAAATGCCATTAGTGGTTCGGTCGTAATTGTCCAACAGCCGTTCGACGTAGAATCTCTGGACGACATGGTTTTGCAGGAACCAGCTGGCAACCATCTTTACCCGCTTCCACGTTCTCACATGCATGCACGTTACGTTTACGCGCATAGGGTGTCCCGCGCTTGACGTACAAACGCACGGTTTTATCATCGTTGGCGGGGGGCATTTTGCGTCCACTGGCAGCAGAAGAGAAAAATGCCATGAAAGAAGCAGACCCAAGCAGCAGAGCAAACTAAGCTGCTTGCGGTGCTCTGGTACCTCCAAGCCGTAAATGGTAGGCATTTAGTCGCAGTGTGAAACGTGTGTGAACCTGACTCAGTCTCGATACTCAAAAAAGCCACTTGTGCAGTCGAAGGTATGGAATCCAGACAGGCTTCTGTGTACAATAGCCTCGCATGACTACCCACGCCACCAACGATACGGTCGACCAATGATAAACCTTCTCACTGGCTGACACTGTCAGAAAGTTTGCGGAACTTGTGAGTAGTGGCGATCGTTAAATATCAGAGGGGTCTTAACGTATCTGACCGCGGGAAAATGGACACTGGTAAACCTCACTTGGTGTACGAGACGAAATCCTTAATGAGTACCGTAGAGCGAATCCGTTCAACATTTTACCGTTGAAGTTATCTTCAGTTTCGTGGCATACAGGTAACAGGTAGCAATATAATTCAACAAATAATAATGAATATGAAATTCACAATGTAAAAAACAAGTATGGCAGCCGAACGATGCGTGGTTCCTCCTTGGCTGTACACTACAACCGATTCGTATTGATCCTACAGTCACGCTCTGTCCAGATTTGTTTTACTTCGGTTATGCAAAGCTTCGTTAAACAGGCGATGGTGCATAAAGACTAAAACAACCAATCAGAATGCAAATAAACACGAACTTACAGCGGGTTTAAACCTTTGAATTAATATAGACACTTAAGTATTAACGTTTTTAAACAAATCGGTGCTTCCTAAATCACAAACAAAGAGCAACGACGACCGTTTTGAAAAATTCTAAACTCGACTGCAAAGTAAGCATCGATGAATCACGGTTGTATAAATTGCTTACACTGATGATTCATCGGCTGGTAATGGGTGTATTTGCACGGGTTTACTAGACTGTGACCCACAAATACAGAGCACTGTAAACTTTACAGGCCTTTAAAATTTTTCACTGTCACCTTTACGCTGAATTAAAGGACGGCGTTTTCCAGACAGCTTCGCAAATGAGTCTGTCGGAAACTACACTAATTTCGAACCGAACTGCGGTCTAGTAGTACAACGTACTGAGGGACAGACTTTGTACCGACACACGATGTGAGTCAGAGAAATTTGCGGGGCTGATATCGGAGCAATTTTAACATCAGGTTAAGGTGACTTGGTCGATAAAGTGTCAGATTCATGGAGAAAAATGCAGGGGTTCTAATCCGTGCGGGGTTCATTTGTCTGTACTTTTTTCGAGGCCGATAAATGAGTACCATTACGTGGGCAGAAAATTACCCATGTAGAGTAGCAAACTACGTGTTTTATTTGCTCATTGCTATTGATGCTGCAGTCGTACTAAGGTCTCTGAACGGAAACGGAGACCACCATTGCATACTAAACACCATTAGACAGAAGCAACAAATAGCGCTCATAATAGCAGTGTAACGCAGACCGACAATCCAACGGTTACAAGCTTTGCTATCATCTGCGTTTGCTTTCAGTGGGTTAAACAGGCCGAATCATGGGCATTTGTAGCACATTTCAATAGTTGTTTATTTTACAAGGTACTTTTACCGTATTGGACAAAGTCTAACTCCGTTATAATGACTTTACTAGCAGCTTGTTTGTTTTCGATATCGTCGGCAAGAATAATAATCTCCCGCCACTTCTATAGATTTACACGGCGCAGCCGGACTTTCTTCTTCCTTCTAGTAACCCAGGGAACCACTTATAAGTATGAACAGGTCTCAGCTGCATGCTATTTTAGTACTTGCAGCGTAAAGGGTACAGAGAGGAAGGAGGTCGATATCACCGCGAACCAATTTACCATTATGTCATGCCGGTGGACCACGGACGCAACCTTTGCGTAAAGATCAGTCCTCAGAACAAACAGAGATGGTAGCAAGGATATTCGTATGGTATTCCTAGACCGGAAAAAGCTTTTGACCGAATCCTGAGGCAAAGAACCTGATGAAGCATGAAAAAGAATCTGGTAATATAGCGACAACGATAGTTCGAAGTACATGCAGCGAAACAGAAGAATTCTCTTGCGGGTAGGAGTCCATCAAAGTTTAGCACTGAGCTGATTTCTCTTCTCCATGGAGACAGACGCGAAAATTAAAGACCTGCAGATGGAGCTCCATACGCTCTACGCAGATTATAGGGAAGGGGAGCAATATACGAGGCACGAAGAACAACTATTGAGAAGAACTGCCTTCAGCTCCGCATGAATATATGGCAAAATATTTTAGTGGGAACAGAATGAAAACCACCAAATCGGTGAAAGTAGCGGGGAACATGCTGCTTCAAATCCAAGAGTTCGACTACCTTGGTTCCATCCTCAAAACAATGGAGAAATCGACAATGATTTAGAGAACCGGTCAAAAAAGTGGCACAAATGGAAAGAGGTAAGCGGCGATGCACTGTGCGACGTCAAACGAAAGAAGGTGTACAGAATGATAACAAGACCGGTGCTTCTGTACGGAGCAGGATGTTCTGCTACACTGAAGAGACACAAGCAACAGCTGAACTTTGTAGAAATGAGAATGCTCAGATGCACCCTTGTGTGTAGTCGGAAAAAAGAATGACATTCGGAACAGCTGCATAAGATGCGCTATAGGTGCAGCACGCGTTTTAGAAAAGCTTATCGAAGAGGGTTCTGTTAGTTAGGCCATATAAAAAGAAGACCCAACGAGTACGTTGGAAATGTAGCAGAAGCGCCGATACTGCCGGGGAAGAAAAGAAGGGAAAAACCAAAGAAAAAGTGGCTCAATGTCGTGAAGAACGATATGAAACTGCGAGGAGTGACCGAAGACTTAAACAGTGAAAAATGAGGAGGCAGTTGACTCGAAATGCGGACGTCTGATAAGGGACACACGTAAGGAAAAAGAAGTGTCTAGACGTGAACTGGATCACTTTGCAGAGTCGAACACAAGTCGATACACCTCGACCCACGGCATGTACATTTCAAATTCACCCTGGTATTATGGATTTAATAGCAAATTGATAGTTGTACCTCAGACAAGAACAACAGTTTGTCATTTCTCCTAGGGTACTAAAAGCACGGGAACGTGTCACTACACCATGTGTTGAATTTCGTCAGTTTTTGGCAGGCAGTACAGAAACAACCGCCCAACGTTTGGAATTTGAGTACATAATAGTTTTTCGCATCTGTTACTAGATGCATCGGTACGGCCGGATTATGGGACTTTTTCAACTCTTAAGGATAGACATCCCAGCAGTCTCTTAAATGAACCTCAGAGGTTCTCTGCACCAGTCCACTCCCTTTTATACGGCTTGAAATATTCGGTTGAAGCTGCGCAATTCGACAGCTTTTAATAATCTGAAACCGATGTCTTAGAAAATATAGGCACACTGAGCCTTGAAGATATATTTTAAAGCACTGTATTTGCGTATGGATGCTCTTTGTGTTTCATACTCATAAATGACGATTTCTAAGCTAGAAATTCTAAAAGGT